TCTGTTCACCTCTCATATCCCAAGAGACTTTGGAAGTAAGGAAGACCCCTCTGTTTTTGGATGTCAACAGCTGTCCAATGTGTACATGCCAGTACACATGAAACTGCTTGTCTCCAGGCACAGACATGGCTCTGGGGCCTACTAGGGTTACAGTACGCAAACCATGTGCTGCCAGGCCCACGCCATATTTTATTGAGAGAATCACAGGTGAAGTGAATTTAGGGTCCCTAGGCCCCCACTGTGCACTGTGCACTGTTTCGTCCTCGGGGTACTATTGAATTTAGCTTTTGTATGTATACAAGGGTCTCCTGTGACAGGCACAGCTTTGGTGGGTGAGAACAGTCAGTTTGTTACTGATGACATTTTGACACTTACCCCTCCCCCCAATCACCTAGACTAGTCTCTGACATTATATGTGTCTATGTGTCACACTGTATGCTCAGGTTTTGTTTTATGGGTGCTGTTCCAATGGAGGAGAGCTCATGTGGGTGTATATATCTGCCCAGCCTGGTCATTTAGCTGGGGTCACTGTGTGTGTGCGTAGGTCTTCTTGGCACAGTGCCCTTGTGTCTCTCAGAGACCGGGGCACTGGGTAGCAGAGTATGTTTACAACTGAGAAGATGTGGCAGAGCAGAAGGCCTCTGTCTATCCTAAGGCATAACCTGACACCCCCTTTTCTTATTAGGCCTTTGTGCCAACGTGTACACGAGTACTCTGAACGATGGCAAGAAACCCACTCCTCTCAACCCTGGGTCACCTGTGAGACACCAGTTCTACTCTAGCTTTTGATAAAAAGTCAAAGAGCAGAGAGGAGGAAACCTAGATCCCAACCCAGGATGACTTTGTGGCACAACTACGGGTCCAGAAAAGCCAGGATAGAAGAGCGTGAGGCCAGGGGCTACAAGAGATTGCTGTGATGAGCTCCCATGCAGAAACCTGGATCTCCACTCCCTTTCCATCCTTAATTCCCAGACAACCTTCCCTTCTTCAAGAGGCTGGATGCCCAAGGGTGCCTGTGCCTGGGCTGTTTATTGTTGGAAATGGGTTGGATGTATGAGAGTCGAGGGGTCTGAGGGGCTGTCCCTCTCGACAAGCTGTCTACTACGGGAATGTAATTCATGGCGGTCGATGGGCTCTTTGATTAGTTCAATCGCCTGAATAATCGTTTAATCAATAAAGCATTTCACTCTTCTGTGCCATTAGCCTGGGTGGGGTTTGTGTGTGGGGAATCCTAGAGGGGTTTGCAGCTTCAAATCCTAAAAGCCACGCCCCTTACTGATGGGTTAGGGCAAAAGTCACCTGCTTGGAAAGGCGTAGCAGCTCAGGTCAGAACACACTTTTGCTTCCAAGTCCTGAGACCCAGTCTAGGGAAGGGAGAGAGGGTGAGGACCGCGGGTCTATCCAGGCACTCAAAGGCTGTCTTGGTCTACTTTCTGCCCTCAACTTCTGGGCCTTTCGTGGGTCACAAAACTGTCCTTCCTTCCTCAGAATCATGCAGCATTCCTTCTCCAAAACTCAGTTTCCTTGTTTGTGGTGTCTTTATAGCTGAAAGCCCAATATTAAGCAAGGGCAGCACACAGCAGGGAGCCACTTAAGCAGTTTCTCCCTTCCTTGGAAAAGAGGAGGTCCAGAGGGCAGGAACTTATCATGCTCATCAAACAGGACTAGGTCTAGAAGCAGGAAAAAGAATAACACTTCCTGTGCACGGGACAGCATCTCACAAAACTCTGGGGAACAGGGAACAGGCACAAGAAGCTGAGGTCTTAGGAGAAAGGACTACTGAATCATAAGTCTTAGGAGAGAGACTGTCCTGGTGCTCCAGCCTGCAAGGGCAGGCTGGTGGGGGTAACCAGCCCCGGCACAGGAGGTGTGCACTCCTTGAAAGACTTGGTTTAATTCTCTCCTCCCCAGTGATTCCTGTATCATAACCCAGGCCAAGGAGGGCAGAATCTTGACCCACGTTCAGGAATTAGGCAGACATCTCTATGCCCCATTTGCTGTGCAATCACAGACCAGTTGCTTTTCCTCTTTGATACTTTTTCAAACTAAAGGCTAAAAAGAACGGCAGTGGCCAGGCATCTCCGATCCTTCCCAACTGAAAGACCTTGCTTTATTGGAAGAAAGAACAGGCAAATGGGCTGGAATTGAACTGCAAGAGTCAATCTCAGGCCAGAACTCCATGGCAGCACCAGTATCCCAAAGGCTTGGCTCTTCTGTAAACTGGAGGGAGTGTTGGGGAGCTGGGCAAGAAGAAGTGGGGGTGGGGATGAGGGTGGTGTAAAGCATCCAAGTACAGAGGGAGGTAGACAGACACCCCCTCTCCAAAGGTGTTCCAAGTTCCGAAACATTCTCAGAATTGTCATTCTTCAAACAGGCAAAACTTTTCAAAGCGATTCAATGGAAATAAGTTGTTTTGTGCCCTCCCCCATAGTGGTTCTGTTTATAGGTTTATGCCATTGCCATTAGTGCTCTGCTAGTCCTTCCTGGACCCAGGCTGCAGACGGAGGCAAGAGCGAGGCATGGAAGCACATCTATGTTAGGGAATAGCTGTGTGATCTCAGACTGGTTATCCAACCTCTCTGGGCCACTGTTTGGCAGCTTGTAAGGATGGACTGGGTGGTCATATCAGGACTCTTCACTTCTTTGGGGATTTGAAGGTCTCCGAGCTCAGGCACTCCAGGAACGACAAGAACAACCACTCACAAGGAAATTTCCTCTGACCTAGGATCACTAAGTGTAGGGAGGGGCTACCTTCCTTCGTTGGTTAGGCTGGGTCTCACAGAGGGGAACGCACCCAGAGCTGAGCAACACTGACTGTGTGAAAGGGGGAGTTCCGGCTGTTCCTTCTGGAATGGTATCTACAGTTTCCCCCTGCCCTCAGAGTACCCTGGGCATTCTGTCCAAACAACACGGGACAACTGGCTCCTCAGGCAATGTCCAGGTGAATTATTTGGTTTGACACCACCTCCCCTTCCAGTCTCCAGCCTTCCTTCTTTCCCAGACTTTCTCAGACAAGTTGTATTCTGTCTTTTACCCCTCAGGTTCCACATCTGTAAAATGGGAAAAACATTGCTCCAGAATTCTGTTAGTTTTAAGATCCTAGATCTGGGTTTGGAAGCTCAAGGGGCCTGAGTTATCATTGACTGCTTTTTGGGTGCATCCTGTACTCTTGAATTTGCTAGAGGGAATTAACTGTCTTGGAACTGAATTATTGTGGTATCAGATCCATCAGGAGCTACAGGAAAAAGCCAATGGACCCCTATGCCACCACAGCCATTTTCCTATTGTGACCTCCCTGCCCTAAGGCAGAGGTGGATGTGGGGGGCAAATATGTGGACTTGGAGGGGTTCCGGACAATGGAGAGAGAAAGCTACCACCCCACCACCTTGTATACCACAACCTTCTGAGTCCCCAGAGACTGGCCTAGGCCGTTTTCCTGCAGCTGTGCCCCAGTGGGGGGAGGGATTGTGTCAGCCAGGGGAAACTTGTCTGCTTGTCCTGAGCAGCTGTGACCAAGACAGCTGTAGAGAGTGGACCCAAGACCTGACCTAGTATAGAGATGTTAGACATGGAACAAGGAGAAAAGAATGAAAATGAGGGAAAATTCAGGCAGAAAGTAAATAGAGAAAATGGCCCAAGGGTCCTCCAAAAATCCAGCTGAGCTCTGTTTCCTCTGTGCTATGACTGAAGCAGACATCTCAGTGTTCTTGTTCTGGTGGCTTTATGTCTAATACCAGAGGACAATGACTTATTATTCAAAGGAGTGAGTGTTTAGTCTACTCCCACAACTGCTGGGGCAAGGGGAAGCTCATTGTCTGGGCTGAGTTGGGTCTTAGCACTCTAGAGGGCTCACAGAACTATAGCTACCTGGGTGAAGACACTTCTTTTTTTTTTTTTTTAAGTTAAGCTGCTTTGCAGCTGAGAGCCTTACACTCCCGAGAAACTGAGGTGTGGGCTAGCTAAAGAACTTTGCTGGATCAAGAGAATTCCTCTGGAAGTCTGTCCATTTTTGTCTTAAAATCAGAAACTCTGATGAGGGAAGGTCAGAGTTTCCTGGCCGCTGGGCACTGCAGCGTTTGTAACCCTTGGTGCCACACTGCCAGGCTCTTGTAAACACAGCCGCTGGCTTCGGGTGCTCTCATTAGCTCTGGATGCAGTGAGTGCCTTCGCTTCAAAGGAGGCCTTGCACTAGATGCGGAAACCGGCTGTTGACAGAAGCGTTGAGCTGAGAGTATCACCAGCTCCCAAGGGACCTGTCAGCCCCTGGACTGAGGCTGCAAAAAGCGACCTATGGCTCTGTTGCTTGAGACAACCTGGTCCAAGCTTTAGAGACTCGACAATTCCTGGTAATGTTAAAGCAGTATTTCCCCAACTCTGAGTTTGATTAATGCAGCACCGGGGCATGTGTGGATAGGAGAATGAGAAGGAAGGCTACCTAGGAAACGGCCGTCGCTTAGTAGATTCTTGATAAATTTAGGAAACGTTTCCATTGGAAGGAACCAGCATCAAAGTCTCCCTTCACTAAATTCTACCCATTTTACAGAGCAGCAAAGTGAGTCTGAAGCGGCAGGTACACACGCGTAAATCTGCCATCTAGACTGAAAGCCGACTCTCTATTGCGTTGCACGTCTTCTTGCAACGTTTGTAGGTGTTTTCTGCCCGACCTCCACTCCTATTTCTGGAGACTTCTCTCTCCCATCCCCACCCTTCGTGCCCTGTCCCGGTTGCCTCAGTCTCTGAGCGCACCCCGGAATCCCAACAGCAGGCAGAAGGGTTGGCTCTGTGGGACCAAGAGCCGGGCTCTGCAGACATGGCGTGGGCCCTGTCTCTCTCTCCGCCTTATCCGTCCCCGACCCACTAGGCCTTCTCCCCACGCGTTTGTCAATGAACGTGGCGCCGCCGCTTGGGCCCCGCCCCCCATTCTCTCCCATTGCCCAGGTACCGGCTAATCAGGCGGAGCCCGTGAGTTGCTTAGCCAATAGGGCAGTATTTCGGGCTAGGGCCGGATGCCCCGGTTCTGATTGGCTTGATGGGGCGTGATTGGCAGGTGAGCTCCCGCCCCGCCCCCGCCCGGAGGGAGGCTGAGCCCCGGGCGGCGCTGTCCACACGCAGCGGGTCCTGAAAGCGGCTCCGGGGCGGCGCGGTGGCGCACTGTGCGCGCCGAGCAGGCGGAGGGCTAGCGCCGGCGGCGGCGGCGGCGGCAGCGCGGACATTAGAGCCGGCAGGGGTTTCATCTCAGCACCGACAGCCCTGGCGGCCCCGGCGGCCCCGGCGGCAGGGACCCGCATCCTCTGCTGCGCCCCTCGCTCACCGCTGGGCAGACGCGGCGGCTGTCCCGGAAGAGGCAAGCCGGGGACAGTCCACCCGCATCCCCGAGAGCGGGCAGCGGGGAGCCAAGAGTTGGCAGCGTGAGGCACGGCCGGGAGCGAAGGGGCCGGGAGCCTCGGGGCCCGCGGGAACTTTGAAGGCGGCGCGTCCCGGGCTTCGAGGGCTGCAGTTCCGGGGCGCTCCGGGCGCCCAGCCTCAGCAGCTACAGCATCTCCGCGTCTGCCGCGGCCCCTGCGCGGCCGGAGAGGGAGTTCTCCGCAACTTCGTCGGAGACGTCGGAGAGCCGGCAGGAGAGAGGTGCAGGGGCTCGTCCCGCCCCAGAGACAAGGAGCAGCGGGAGACAGGAAGGCTCTGGCGGAGGCCGAGGGGTGGACAGTCGCTCGAAGCAGCGAGACGGAAGCAGCCTGGCAGCCCGCGGGCCTCGCTGCCCCGGAGTGAGACGAAGGGCCGTGTGCTCGCGGCCTCTTGCACGCTTCTGCTCCGTCGCCGAGCGCCGCTAGCAGTCCCGGAGGCGGGCCCCTGCGCTATGCCCTCGACGCCGCGGGCTCCTGGGCCTCTGCTTCTAGGGTGTGGGCCGGGAGCCGCCGTCTGAGCCCGTCAGGGAGCGAAGCCAGCTGCAGTTGGGCGCCCGCTCCCAGACCAACTGGCTGAGCACCATTTCCCGCCTCTCGGCTCAGCTCTCCGCGACCTTCCGCAGGAGGCTTGGAGAGGGACTCCCGCACCGCTGCAGAGGTGTTTTTTGAGTACAGCTCACATAGTGCCTGCCTCCCTGAGCAGCCCTTTGGCGCCGAGAGGCAGCGGCGTGGGCCGACCTGCAGTCTGGAGCGCCCCGATGGAAATACACTGTAAGCACGACCCGTTTGCATCCATGCATAGTAAGTAGGCGGCGAGCTCGCTTCTCTCACTCTCCGACCGGGGTCGGGTTGGGGGTGCTGGACTGCGGGGCAGGTAATAAGTTCTGGAAGGCTCGGGATCTCTGTAGCTGCGTAGATAACTTTGCAAAGTGCAAGGCTTTCAGACTGAGGGCGCGGAGCGCGTTTGGCCGCCAAGGCCAAAGCGCCTGGTCTGTAAATCCCGCCTCCAGCAACAAGGTATTGTAGGCATCGAGCTGCAGCCTTTCTGGATCTCCAGCAGCTAATTCTCAGAACCCTGGTTCATACTCATAGAAGGCTCGGAAGTGGGCCAATTGAAAGGCAGGAAGTTCTAACAGGGGTCAACGAGAGTCTCAGACTGTGCCCAACACCCCAACTCTGTTGGCGCCCTTTTCAGCCATGGGACTGACCAAGATTGACGCTTAGAATGAAAAGTGGGGTCCCGATCAGTCCCTGTATATGTGAATAAAAGAAGCGAGAGTTAAGAAAGTGCACCTGGTCTAGGGTTCCAAACGTGTCCTGGGGTCGAGGAGAAGGGATTTAAAAAAATCAACGAAGTCCGTGTCCCTAAGCTACACTTCATTTTAGACGTCGGCCAGTACAGACTGAGACCTCTAAAGACACCATTGAGTCGTTCTCTGTAGGGTGACTGCTGCCTTGAGATGGATTCTCTCCTAGAAAGAAAGGGAGGAGAGAAAGAAAGGAAGAGAGAGAGAGAGAGAGAGAGAGAGAGAGAGAGAGAGAGAGAGAGAGAGAGAGAGAGAGAGAGAGAGAGAGAGAGAGAGAGAGAGAACTAATTAGTTATAGGCAGGCGAGCCTGCCTTCTAAAAGCCTGTGCGGTGTAAGAGACCGGCAGGGTCATTTCGGGCACCGGCAGGGCCCTGCTGCCTGACCCGCAGGGTTTCTGCCAGTTCACCCATTAACACAGCCTCCTGTGAGATGAGCGCTCTTCTCACGGTGAGTTAACTCTGGATTAGATTCGGAGATTTCAAGGAAATTCCAAGTGGAACGAATCGCGTTTCCCTTCTGTTGACTGTAGAATCGGCCAGGGGAAGGCGTCAGGCTTTGGCAGACTGCACTCGGGTGCCCAGCTCGGGTCTCCGTGGACTGCAAATCGCGGAGTAACTCCGTGGCTAGCAGCGGACTCCAAGCTCACTTAACCTCAACCAGCCGGGACCCCGCTACTCTAGCCGTGGGTCCCCTATTTAACAAAGGCAGCAGAGACCCGGCTAGAGAGAAGGCAAGCTGGGACAAGAATCTTCGTGTCTTCCAGGAAGGGCCCAGTGGCCTGGAGGCAGGGGAAGGTAGCTTCTCTTTGTGTCAATATCCCAGTCGGAGGTAATCCTCCCAAGCGGCAACAGGATTTCGCATAGAGAAGCGGCTTGCTCTGGTCATAGTTCCAACGATTCCTCTCCATTTGGAGACTGGGTTTGAGCAATTTCCAGTCTACCACGGCTCCAACGTCTTCCATATCATTTTCCTACACAAACTGGCTCTGGAGCCTCTCTGCTCTTCCTCAGAGCAAACCTATAAATAAACGAGTTGGGGGCAACGCTCTGAGAGGGGGCCAGCTTGGCTCAGCCAAGAAGCAACTGGGAGACACGATGGGTAGGGTTGGCTCCCGAGCCTCGTTCCTTACTGGCATAAATCCAAAGGCCCACACTGTCTCTCGCTGTCCAGAGTTCTGCTGCCCAGAGGTCATGTCCAAGCCCTTAGGGAGACAGCATCAGACTTGGTAGTCTTCCGGTGTGCATCCGTGTGGAGAAGCAGCTCCTTCCAGGTTTAGGTTAACCAACTGCTAATGTCTAAGCCTTCCTGCCGGGCCTTCAATCTGCCCCCTCCTCGGGAAGTGCTCCCTCCTCCCATTCTCCATCTCCCTGGCAGCACAGAGGGGGCTGGGCCAGCCTAGCTTCCAGAGCTAGTGGAAGCCCTTGGCTTCTTTGGAAAGACCTTTAGTTCTTGTGCCCAAAGCCGTTTGTTTGCACAATGTAGTCTGTCTCTGGGTCCCAATTTGCTGGTGATGGGGGCAGAGAAAATAGCTTCTGTTAGGGGGCTGGTGTAGTAGTGCCCTTCACTTCATCTTTATTTCTGGCTCTGGTCAGTTTTTCCTTGTTACCTCCATTCTTCCCCCCAGCCCACCCCAACCAGTTTTGCACAGGACAGCTTCTGTTGGCCGGGACAGGCACTGCTGCATCGTGGACTTCTGAGTTCAGTGGTACCCCACATGCTACTCCGGTTTCCTTAAGCACACTGGCACAATGACATTCCCTCAGATGTTTCCTTCCCCCAAGCATTTTACCAGTTAGTTACAAAGTACTTTTTGTGGCCGATGGCACACTCGAGTGTGACCCAAACCTTCAGTTACCTCCACTTTACAGAACATGATACTGAGGCTGGAGAAGTAAAAGGACTGTCAGAAATCGGCTGCAGCTGGTTCTTGGGAATAGAGGCATAACTTTAGGCTTTGGAGAATTAAAGGAATGGGGAAAAGAGAAGGACTGGATTCCAGAGAGGTCAGCGGGACTGTTGGCATGTACACATATGCAAGGCTCTACTTCTGTGTCATTCAACTATGCCTGTACTCACTGCATGGCTGTGATGTGAAGCAGCACCTGGTGCCCCATTCTCTGTGGCCCTGTCCACATGTCTATGTGTGCCCTTCCTGTGGCCCTGTCCACATGTCTATGTGTGCCCTTCCTGTGGCCCTGTCCACATGTCTATGTGTGCCCTCCCTTCGGCTCCAGCTTTTAGGAAGAATTCCAATGATCCGGGCTCTTGTAGTGCAGTCTTCAGCAACAGCAGATAGCTCCTTTCTAATTATTTGTGCCTAGCCATGGTTTTGGGGGGTGTGGGCAGTGCCCTATGTGGGCAATATGTCCTTAACATGGTCTAAGGGCCATCTGAGGAATCCAGTTCCTTCCAGAGCAGAGGCACAAAGGTCTTAGGATCACCCACAATTCCATGGTTCTATCAGCCTTCAAACCCTGCCCTTCCAGGTGGGGCTGTATCTGTGTGTTTGTTCCCCAGTTTTTACTAATTTGTTTGCATCGCTTCTGTGCCAGTCTCTAAATTCTGCTCCCCTTAGGGATGGTAGCTGAGTTCATATCTTAGCCCAGTGCCCTCCCGGCAGACGAGCCCTCACCTAGCCGGAATCCACAGTTGAACTTGGGACTTGAATCTTCAAGGAGATGGAGCGAGATCTGAGCGGGAGGGAGAGGACCCAGATTCCCACCCATAGAGCTCTGTCTTCTGGAATCCCTTCCATTTGTTAGTCTATTTAGACTTCCTTTTCCTCCCTCCTCCCTCTGGCTGCTATGACTTTGTGTCCTCTCTAGCCTTCCCTTCTTTGCCCATTGTCTCACCCCTCCCCTCCTCTCTATGGTACAGAGTAGAGAGACAGACTCTACAGTGTCTACATCCTTTGCGCCCGCCTCTCTTTCCCTTGTTCTTCCTCTCCCTCCCTCAGACTTTGGACTCCCCTGCTTACCAGCCCAGATCAGTGCCTTTCCTGAGGCCTGTCATAAAGTGCTCTGTTGGGCAGACTCATGAAGGAGGCAAGAGGACCAAGAGGGTCTGTGGGCCTGTCCAGAAAGTTAAGAAAAGTAAGAGTCACCCTGTCAAGTTTGTGTCAGCTGTGGACACTTGCCTTGAATGCTGCAAATTCCTTAGTATCTCAGCCATGTGGTCAAAGGGAGGTAGTTTGGGGGATCTGCTGTGATTTAGGGAGTCCTGACTCTAGGAGACAATTGGTATTTTTATCCCTATGGTACAAACCCACAAATTCACTGCAAAACTGCTCTTGGCAGTGACTTCCTCTGAAGGTTGCTACCGTGTTTTAGACAGGAAGTCTCAATTGTTAGTGGTATAACAAACAATTGCAGATGATTGACTGCAATGTCTGGACCTTTAGATCATATCAAAAGTGTGCTGGGTCTTTTAGTTGCCTTTTCCTGACCTTTGACCTCCCAATGAGCACACACCAATTTTGGGTATTACTTAAATCCAGCCTGTTTTGGAAAAAAATTGGCTCAGCTCTCTCTCTCTCTCTCTCTCTCTCTCTCTCTCTCTCTCTCTCTCTCTCTCTCTCTCTCTCTCAGATGGTCTCTGTCACAAAACAAAGCTCTTGATCAGGGTTGCTGTAATCTTTTTGTTTTAGGTAAACTATACAATTATATTCCTAGCTGTAAAACCCTGTTCAGGAAAAATTTCTGTCTTTTCATTTTTTTCTTCTGTGTGAAATATTTCAGAACAATCAACTTCCTTAAAGGCATGTTTTAAAAATCAGAGGAAAATTCAGCCTAGTTTGGAATTAAGTAATTACCTAAAAAAAGTCATTTTCTTGGAAATAGCCTGAACCTGGAGATTTGGGGAAATAATTTGTGAATTTGTTAGACACTGTTAAAGATAAATGCTATTTTAGGAGTGTTTTATCCCTCAATTTCAGATTGAGGCCTGGTTGTAGATAAGTCTTGGACTTGGATGGGTTGGTGGTGGCCGAGCTGTTTTCTGTTTTAAAGTTGGAGAGCGGATATATGTGTGACCTGACTTCCCTTCTGGAGTCCAGTCTGTTCCACTCCTTGACCTCTGATCTGTCAGCAGCACCAGTACATTCTTATATTTGGCTTTAGCTATAGTCCTCAGCAATGCCAGTTAGACTGCTTCACAGATTCAGGGCCAATGATGTTGCTACACTGTATCAGTCTGTTAACTGGCCTGGGTCTTCAGTTTGCTCAGGCCCGGTTTCCCTTCACCCGGACCTTGATTACCAGTAGGAAACATCAGAGCAGAAGAGGCACTTTCTCTGACTCCTTTCACTTAAAATACATCCCATGGCACTGGTAAAAATCTGGGACTCAGGAGCTTTATTATTTCCTCCTAACCAACTTAAACCTGCTTACGGACTGCAGAACATGCCCAAAATTCTAGGGGCACACCTTTCTAGCAAATCCTGATTCAGTGGAGTGTGTTGTGTGCAGAAGAGCCTGTGACCCGTTTCTTTTGTGTGCTCTGAGAGGGTATAATGGGCCTGCATGTCAACCTCACCGTTTTAAAAGAAGACTTTACTTTTTTTTTATTTTTAAATTAAGGCAGTGGTTAGGTTTTGTCTCAGTGATCTGAAAATACTGGTCATTAAAAAGAAAGTCTTTAGTTCTTCAATTAGATTGCTGATTTAAAAACACTTTCCCCCTTGAGATGTAGATATTAGAACAGCCCGTTTCACTTTTGAAGACATTTGTTAAAAGAAAATGAGTTCCACTATTTTTCCCTCTTTAAATTTGATTATTTTAAGACATACTTTTCTCCCCAGAATCTTCCTCAAATTCAGCATTGTATAGTAAATTGTGCTCCTTTTACATAGATTTCTTTTACACATTCCCTTACCAATTCCCCCAAATGAAGAGGAAAATGCTAGTAACCAAAAGAAACACAGCATGGGGAGCGAGCAGCGGCTCAGCTGACTGCCTGCAGATGGGCAAAAGCTGAGACCGGTGTTAAAAAGCAATCCAGGGTCCTCATGTCATCTGCAGGATTGGACTCCAGGTGCAAGACATGTAGCCTGCCAGCCATTTGTGATCAGAGGGGCTCTGGGTGCTCACAAGGGCCCTTCTACTGTGACTGGTTCTAACCACCCTTCCCCTTGCCTTTTGTTTCTCGTCTGTTTCAGGACATGGAGGAGTGAATCAGCTTGGGGGGGTTTTTGTGAATGGACGGCCACTCCCAGATGTAGTCCGCCAAAGGATAGTGGAACTTGCCCATCAAGGTGTCAGGCCCTGCGACATCTCCAGGCAGCTTCGGGTCAGCCATGGTTGTGTCAGCAAAATTCTTGGCAGGTAAAGGCACCAGCTCCAGGCTTCCCTCAATGTCTTACAGAAAGATCTAAAAGACAGCCCCAGCTGCTCAAGGTGCCAGTGTCTCCAGCGAGACTACGGCAGCATTTTGCTTCGCACACTTGAGAGTTTGCAGTCTTTTGAGATCATCCTATTCAAAGTAGCCGTGAACCCCATGTTTTCAGTGACACATGAAGTAGGGTGACTCTGTCAGGAGGAACAACACGTTTCTCAAAAGTCTGGTGAATTATTTTCTAGAACCCAAATGCCAGAGGTTATTGGGAATTTTCCTCAAACCTCTTAGGTGAGCTTGAGGTCAAGGGAATGGCTGGGGGTGGGTGGGGATGGACCCATAGGTTATTGAATACATCCAGAGTTGATCGTTTCTTTTTCTTCTTATTTTTCTTTTTCTTCTTGGTGCAGGGTGATGTATGTGTTAAGTGATTGCCTATCATTGAGCTATATCGGCAGGCCTTAGTGTTTTCTTTTAAATGTTTTCAAATAGCACTGATATTTAAGAGCTGTAGTGGTTTTCTTCTGTGTGTTTTGTTTCTTTTGTAGTGACAGGCATCCTAAGTATACATTAAATTAGAAGGAGGAAAACAAAACAGCAACAAACACTAAGTCTCAAATCTGACATTTGAAAGTTGCCACTTGACCCAGCAATTTGCTGCAAGCAAAATACTTACAATGACAATCCTCTCAAAGGACTGTGCAGGCCGTTAGCCTCACGTTTATTTTTTCACCAGCCTCAGCACGATCCAGGGGAGGTTTTAAGATGAGGGAATAAACCCTTCTAGGGCTAACTGACTGGCGTAGGAATGTCCAACCAAGTCAGCACTTGGGCTGGACTAGGTCCTAAATGACTCTGGAATCCTGTCTTTCTCCATAACCCCAAAATGATTGACAGTTTTTGTTTGTTTTTATGTCCTAGGCACGTGACATTGTTCTAGGTCTTTCCTGGCAGACAGGAACATTCTCAGGTTTATCTCTTCAGGGCTTTCTTCCTAGCTCTCTCCTTGGGGTCAGTGGTCCTCATCTTTGTTCTGTAGCTTGCATTATGGTTTAACATTTTGAAGTATTTTTGAAGTTTTCTCAGTGGCATCATGGCTCTCTGCTCTTCTTGTTCCATCTTCTGGGGTTTAAAATTTCTCCCAACAGTGTTGAATAATAAATAATATAGAGGACCTTGATTAACACCAAAGGAAGACATCTCAGGGGCAAGAATCTGGCAGTTCTGTTAGGGCCACCTATCCCTGAGCTTATTCTTCATCTTCCTGCCCAGCATGGGTCACCTCAGACGTGGAGGACAAGGGCTCAATCCACTTCTGCTTAACACTCAGTCCTCAAATGAGTTCCAGCCGGAGTTCAGGAAGGAGCACAGGAAATCAGCCTGATGGCCATGTTAGGTTGGTGGTTTAGGGAAAGCTGGGAGTCAGTGCAACAGAAGCAAGTAGCATTCAGGGACACAGAGCGAAGAGAGAAGACAAAGGGAAAAAAGAATGTGTTTTTTCCAAAGACAGAATAGAAAATGTACGAGGAAAGAGGGAGAGAGGAAGTTGCTTCAGTCACCAGGCTCACTTTTGGAGCTGAATGGTCTCTACCGCCTTCATGCGATGCTTCTTTGTAGCAGAGGACAGGGAGAGACAGGGGAGGCCCTTCCTTTGTTTTTACTGAGACATCTTGGCTCAGCTGACATTTTGTTTGCTGTTTGGAAATTTCAAGATACCAAGAGCCTTTCTCAGACATCCAAATGACTGGGTCTCATGTTCTAGAGCCCCAGAACGCTTTACCTCTCCTGTGAAGACTGAGGTGGACAGGAACCCTTCTAAAGTCAGGCCAGCAGACTCTCCTGGACCAGAATAGATTTGTCACTGGGCAGAGTGGCACTCGGAAGTAACGCGCCGCTCCGGTGCCTGGCCGTTTAAGTTGTCAACAATAAATTGGAATTTCATAGCTCATTATTTTCATAACTAAGAACCACAGTGGACAAAATGTCACTCTAATTAGAACTGCCTTTTAAGAAACAAGTTCAGCCCTAAAACAGTGTGACTGGGAATTTCTGAACTCGGCCTGTTTGAACCACAGATTGCCCCCACCCCCTAGAAGAGTTTGATAGGTGCTCACCGGGTGACGGATTATAGAATGCTCGGTGTGTGGTGGCTGTGGGTTTCAAAGGCTTTGTAGCAAGGCAGGCAAAGTCCCTGGGAGCAGGCAGGGATCCGTGTCCCTCCAAGAGGGTATGTGGGCTACAGGAGTGTGGACATCCAGTCTAGAGAACTCAAGACTGTAGAGGAACTGGGCATCATACGAAGGCCAAGTCGGATCGCAGAGCTGGGCTTTTGTCTCCTCTCATTGGGAATGCCAGGTCATTTGAAATTTGATGGCACCTCACATGATGAAAATTAAACAGTGGGGATTTTAATCCCCAACCATGCACTCTATTTGATGCAAATTCCCTTTAATTTTTTTTGTTGTTGTTGCAAAGTCTTTTCATGGTCATCCTGCATCCCTGTTATCCCAACAGCTCTGCAAAGGAACCATGGCAAATATCCTCTCCTATTACAGAAATGGGGTAGCCGAGCCTAGGAAGGCTGAGTTGGTCAGGATCACACAGCCCGTGGGTGTCAGAGCCACTACAGGCATGGCACCTCTTGACTCCCAACCTAAAGCTCTTTGCACTCTTTGCACTGAGGGGCACGGGGCTGGTGGCTGCCGTTTGTCTTTTGTCTGTAAGCCAAAGGGCTGCACGGCTGTTGTGCTGAGATGAAAGGATGGTTATTAAGTCTGAATCCTCACTTGACACAGTCTTGAGTTGGGCTTTCGGGAGTGTCTGCGTTGCCTTCTAAGAGCCTGGCCCATCTGTCAGTCAAAGGCGAGACAGAGACCTCGAGTGTCGAGACTGCAGAATTCCACAGTTGGCACTGCTCAAGCAGGATGGGCAGGGAGCCCTGAGCTGCCACATACCAGCCATGTAAGCAGGAGCTTCCTGACGAGTTTCTGCATGGTCACTGTAGTTCCATTAGATTTATGTATTTTGAGAACACAGTGTGGTCTACTTATCTATAAGCCCTGTCTCGAGGCCATCCTTGCCCTAAGAGGACCCAGTGACTATTGGTTTATGGAATGAGTGATGTCTGAGGAAATACCTTGCTCTCTGCAATTGTAAGAATGGCACTACTAATACTAAAAATGTTATAATCAAAGCAGAAACTCATAGAGTGAGAAGAGCTCTGGATTCAAAGTCTAGTTTGAAATCTGGGTTGCCTCTGTAACCAGAGGAGTTGGGCAAGCCCCCTAGTCCTCCCATGGTTTCTTTTCTCTTCTATAAAATCCTGTTGACTTTACAAGATGTATGAGGATCAGGGTAATTTGAAGAACTACATAAACTCTAGAATGTTGTACCAGAATAATGAGTTGTTATATGATAGTAAATAATCAGCTTTGTCTGGGCTGGAGAGATGGCTCAGCAGTGAGGACCCAGGTTCAATTCCCAGCTCTGACATGGCAGCTCACACCTGTCTGTAACTCCAGTTCCAGAGGATCCAACACCTTCACACAGACATACAGTCTTAAAAAACACCAGTGCTACTAAAATAAAAATAAATAAGTTTAAAACATCACTGGTTTTCTCTTGAGAAGTTGATAGAACTGTAGAGTCTTCAGGTTGCTGTGTCCTAGAGTTTAAGTGCCTTTCTACTTTCTATAAAAAATTTGTGGCTATCTATTGAACCCTTTTGTGATAGAAAATATTTATTTTTAGAAAATTGCTTCCAACAATTTTATAAAAAGGGAAGATAGGTTGGATTTTGTTTTGTGCTTTAAATTTGTAAATGACTCACTCTTCTTAATGAAAAATAGAACTACTTATTCTCTTCTAGAATATTCATTTACATGGCCCTAAACAGCCTTAACCAAGCTGAGAGTTTTAGCAACACTGTAAACTCTCCATCATTGCTTCTGGGTCATGCCTCCATCCAGCCAATAGATTCTTCTTATTCCCTTCCTTCTCCTCTCTTCCTCCCTTAGTCCTCCTCCTCCTCTCCTCTTCCCTTTCTTGCTCTTCCTCCTCCTCCTCCTCCTCTCCCCACCCCCTGTAAGTAGCCAAGTCTACTTGAAATTCCTTATCCTGCTGCCTCCACCTGCCAACTACTAGGCTTGCAGATATGTGCCGCCATGCCCAGTGCATTCCTTACTTCTTACAAATATTCTTGGTTTAAAACTTATAATTTCTAAAATGTCTTTGGTTTAAAAAATTTTAAACCTCAGGATGATCTTCTTTGGAAGAGGGGATCAGGAATTCCTCAGTGAACACTGAGACAGACATCCAGTGATGGCTAGAATTCAGAAAGAACCAGGTCTTTTTTCTCCTCCCCGGAAAGATCTTCCGTGCCACTCTTCTCTCTGGTCTTGGTTTTGCTGTAAAACCCCGACACCTTATTTGTGTTAATGAGGAAAAGCTTATAGCGTGGAGATGTCCTGAGAAACAGCCATTTACCTCAGGGGAGGTCTCTGGATGAGCTGTCGAGAATCATGGTTGGTTTTTCTGACTGCTTGGGATTTGATTTCTAATACATATTTCCCATTAATGCTGGAATCCAACACTCCCTTTAATTTTATTGTTTTCCTCTTTTAGAAAAAAAAACCCTGTAATATAGGGAACAGCTTCAGAGAGTGCTGTAGACTGTGCTGGGATGGGAGAGCTAGCGAACTGAAGGTCTACATCACCTTCCCAGGGAAATTTTAGTTCAAGAGGATTGGCCAGAGTCCTGGCTGGGTACCTGAATCCTTTGTGACCCCAAGGAAAACACTTCTGTAAAGCTGTGTTTAACATTACAGAAGGGTACGTCACCTAATTGTCCAGTCACTTATTCATTCACCTGAAACAGTTTATGTGCTACAGAGCTGTCAGAGGACCAAAAGCAAAAACTAACTTGCAGTTTTTTAATAATCTGTAAAATGGTGGATGGATGTGAAGGCATTTTGCTAATATGTAGCTTGCTGCTAGCATTGTCTAATATATGTATTTTATAATTATATTATAACATGTAATAGGAGCCATGTGAGCAATTTGAAAATGTCTCATACACTAAGAAAAGTGAAATGAAACTAGTACAATTTATTTTAATTATGAATTTTATTTAACATAATGCATACAGATTATCATTTCAACATACAACCATTATAAAAATTATTAGTGGGCTGGCCAGATATCTCAGCGGGTAAAGGCACTTCTGCCAAGTCTGATGGCTAGGGTTCAGTCCCTGGGACTCCTTAACGTAAGGAGAGAGCTGACTCCTGGAAGCTGTTTTCTGAGCTTGGCACACACATGCATACACGGAGACATGCATGTACACAAAGCAGAATTTTTTAAGAAATACAATTTTAAAAATGATGGAGCTATTTGATAGCTTCTTTTTTTTTTTTTTTTTTTTGGTTTATACGAGACACGGTTTCTCTGTATTGTTTTGGAGGCTATCGGTCCAGCCCGGCCTCGAACTCACAGAGATCCGCCTGCCTCTGCCTCCCGAGTGCTGGGATTAAAGGCGTGCGCCACCACCGCCCGGCTTGATAGCTTCTTACACTATGTTTAAAACTGGATTTCCTGTTTACGTCTCAGCATATCTTTCTTCACACTTTCCCCATTTCAAATGTGTATCCTCTCTGCGTGGCCCCGTGACTAACTGTGGTCTTTTCTTCTTGGGTCTAGGTATTATGAAACAGGAAGCATCAAGCCGGGAGTGATTGGAGGCTCCAAACCAAAGGTGGCCACTCCCAAGGTGGTGGAGAAGATTGCTGAGTATAAACGCCAAAATCCTACCATGTTTGCCTGGGAGATCCGGGACCGGCTGTTGGCAGAGCGAGTGTGTGACAACGACACCGTGCCCAGCGTCAGCTCCATCAACAGGTGAGGGAGGGGCTGGGGATGCGGGTGAGGCTGGGGTACCGAGGGGCAGGTTCTTCTTTCACTCCGTGGGGACACGAGCAAAGGGGAGCACCGGTGGTGCTTGCTGGGCTCTGTGACCTTCCTCCTCTCTAAACGGGACAGGAGTTCTCAGCTCAGGGAGAGGACACCATGCCAGTGCCCAGGCCACTTGAGTTTTCTGAGCCAGGGAGTGACTGACACCACCCAGCTCATTATCTACCTGTGAGGAGCACTTTGTATAAACTATCTTCATTAGGCCTTCACGAATATCCCTGCCCCTGCCAGGGGCCGACTCATCTCAGAGGCTCCTCGGTGGGCAGTCCAGCCCCCACTTTGGACAGAGGTGGAACCATGAGGTGTGGGAAACAAAGTTCCCTTTGGGCTGGGTGGTGGTGCACACCTTTAATCTCAGCCCTGGGAAGGTAGAGGCAAACTGATCTCTGTGAGTTCAAGGCCAGCATGGTCTAAAAGTGAGTTCCAGGACAGCCAAAGGTATGCAGAGAAACCCTGTCTTGAAAAAAAATGAAAAACAAAAAACAAACGAAAGAAGTTCCCTGTGAGCTTGGACAAGTCACTCTTTGTTCTCGTTCTACTGCCAACTTGAAGTGAGATCTCAGCAGATTCTTGTGTTATTTTCTGAGACCACAGGGCTCTAGTGTGGATTTTCTAATGATTCTAATGTGGATATTCCATGCACCCTCACATCTCACCCATGGAGACACGAAAACAGAAATACACCATGGCTCCGTCCATACCATTTTCCTGGAGTTCACATGGTATCCTTTCTTTCCCTTAGGCTGATCCAAAGCTTAATGACGGATAACATCAGAGCTTTAAAAATAAATTTCTGACTTGGAATAGATGTGGTAATACATATATGTAGTCCTAGCACTCTGGAGGCTTGGAGGGCAGTGATTTTGAGGGCAGCCTCAAAATAAAATACTACATAAAATGAAAATTACATTCTGGAAGGAAATCCTTCCTTCTTTACTTCCTTCCTTCCTCCCTTCTTTCCTTCCTTTCTTAATGAGACAGTTTCAGTATGTGTTTTTAGTTGGTCTGAACCTTGCTATGTGCTTGAAATGATCCTCCTGTCTCAGCTTCCTGAATGCTGGGGTTACCAGTGTACCACTACCGGAAGAAGGTAGTTTCCTATTATAGAAGTGTAGACTCTGATCCATTTAAGCCTACAGGCCAGAGCTGTGGGTGTAGCTCAGTTGGTAGACTGCTTGTCTTGAATACAGGAAGCCCTGGGTTACACCACCTAAACCTGGAGCAGTGGTGCATGTCTGTAACCCCAGCATCTGGGATTACAGCAGAGTTCAAGATCATCCTTGGATGACATGGAGAGTTCTAAGTGAGAGGTCCTGCCTCTGAAACCCAAAGAAATAAACAATTAAACAAACAAACCCACAGTCAGGGATGAAATGATGAGATGAATATAAACAATTGTTCTCTAAAACCCACATAAGAAAAAGAAGCCAGAAGCCGGGCGTTGGTGGCGCACGCCTTTAATCCCAGCACTCGGGAGGCAGAGGCAGGCGGATCTCTGTGAGTTCGAGGCCAGCCTGGTCTACAGAGTGAGTTCAGGGACAGCCTCCAAAGCCACAGAGAAACCCTGTCTCGAAAAACCAAAAAAAAAAAAAAAAAAAAAAAAAAAGAAGCCAGAAGTCTTGGAGTTGAACCATTCCAATTTCTTCAGAGTCATGTCCTAACGTGGCCAGTGCTGAGCCTGTCTGAGGACAGAGAACTCCTCACTCTTGAATGAAAGAGGTGTCAGACTGGAATGTCTCTGAGGTCTCCTCTGGCCCTGAAGGCAGAACGGTGGCCCAAATGCACAGCATCAGCATGTGATGGATGTGTTGGCTTCTTAAGTCCCACTGGCCCATCAACCCTTGCTTCTCTTGAAAACCCCTGAGAAATCGGGTGCAATCCTTTCAGATTTGTCCTAGAGGGTAGAGCTGGGGGGGGCAATCCCAGTGGGCCTAGGGGTGAGGGAGTATCTATTTTTTCCTGAGTTATGAAAGGTTTTAGTTCTGAGTTCTCCACACCTCATTCATTGAAGGATTTCCAGGACACACACAAAAAAAACATGATTTCCCCCCCCCTGGGTGTCCAGGTGATTGTTTTTCTTTTTAAAAGTAAGCTGCATTGCAGAGTGATGGAAATTCTGCTAGGGGAAGGGACAGTTGGCAAATCAGAGATCCAAGCCACCTTTTCAGTAAAATCTTAATGGAAGATATGAATTTTGTTAATCTATGTCACTCTATTATTGTTAGATACAATTTGAAATTTTCTAGTGGATATTAAGAGAAGTAAAAAGAAATATGTGTAATTAATTGTGGTTGTATTTATTTCACCCAACATAGAAAAAAGTATTTCAATGTACAATCAGGGTGAAAATTATTAGTGAGCTACTTCACATTTTGTGTCTTGGTGCTAAGTTTTAAAAAGGGTGATTTACAGCACAACTGGACTCATACTAGACACATGCCGATGTCCCGGTGGCTAAGCACCATACTGTTTATGTCCCTAGCTGGGGGTCACTGGAGAATGTAGAGGGAGGGACAGAGGCAACATTGGAGAAGTTGGTCCACTCTGTAGTATAACCTTGTGCAAACCCTTAGTCAGGATTTGGGGAGCCCACATGTTACCCAATGTAAGGTACACACATGATGACGTGGTCCACAGAATAACCTTGGGTCCCCATGGCAGTCACAAACTTTATTGCCCACGTGGATGGGGCAGGCAGATGGTTAATGAAGGAAGTTGTGAGACTCCGGAGGCTCCAGGGGCTGAGGCAGGGGAGACAGCACAGCCCTGTGGGTGGCAGCTGCTCCTGAGTGTCAGCTGAGCGCTGCCGGGAGTGTAAGCCAGAGTCTTTCCACCCCCAGAGAACCTAGAAACCAGGGTCTCAGTGCGTGGGTACATACGCATGGAAAAATCCAGACTTTTAAATGGTGGCATAACAGGACTCCAGTTTTATCTTCTGTAATGCAACGAATTCATTTTTACATGATTTAGAAAAATCTAAGTGCCGTGTCACACTGGTGAGCTGGTGAACACTGAACTTTCTCCTACCTACTCACAGTAGGGAGGCCTGGTGGCCTTATATAATTCATCTAAGGCCCACAATATGCCTCAGTGGGTGAAGGCATTTGCCGCAGAGCCTGAGGAGCCAAGTTCCATCCCGAGGACCCCCGTGGTGGAAGGAGAGAACTGACCCCTGAGAGTTGTTCTGTGGTCTCCATGTGCACTGCAACCTTATCTAAATACATAAACAAGTGCCATTTAAAACTCCACGTAAGTCCAAAGTACGGTGTTTCAGAGGAACGCGTAAAGCAAAGATAGAAGTGGCTACAGGAGTGGTAAAGGCTGTGGAAGACGGACTTGAATGTCCGATTCTGTGTGTCTAGGGCTGTGCTGCTGGAGGTCCTGGTGCTGGTGACTGGGGCCACGGCTAGATTCTGGGACCTCCTGGGCATCTCAGTCGGCAGATGTGACTGGCTGATGGTGTTTCCACATGGCCTTCCTATCCGTGGCCTCCCACAGCCCTCAGGCCTGCTGTTGTCCCGTGGTAGGTGTAGAACTCAGGCCCAGATGTGAGGACCGGAAAGGTGACGCGATGGAGACCAGGGTAGAGTCAATGAGAAGATGAGGCCTGCTGTCCTTCCACCAGCACCCTGGAGGTCCCTGCCAGCCTTCTCCTGTGAGGAGGAGGCCAGGAGACGCCACCATTCTTTCCCTGTTTCAGTGTATCATGGTTTGCTTTGCCGTCTGTCCATCCCTGGAATCCTTAGGTCTTTCCAGTGCTTTTCTCAGGTCCCTCTTGAGGACTCCTCACTGCACCGTTAGTGACAACCCCCAAATGTGACGCAGTCTCTTATCAATACACCCTCTGGACCCAAATCTCCCTGGGATTCCATCTACTATAGAATTGCTTTTATGTTTTGGGGGGAAGGCAGAGCCCGTTGCGTTGAGAATGACGCATGCTCAAATAACCAGCTTGCAGGTGTCAAAAGAAAGCTCACTCCTAGCCATGCTCCCACCAAGGCAATTTCTCACTATTCCTCTATGTTAAACAGCCAGAGAGAAGGTGATGTCCTCTCTACTGCTCACCCCTGGAGGCAGGTACTGTTCTGCTCTCTTTGGGAACCAACTCTGGAAACATTGATATTTAGCTCTGATGTGGAGCTAAATGTCAATGAAGCACATCTACCAGGCTGGTGGGGACTTCCTGGGAGTCCTTAAGTCACCTTGCTCATTTGGAATGCTGCACAGCCTGCAGCGGAGAGTCCTGAAGTCCAGGCAGGGAGAGTCAGCTGCAGGTGGACGTCTCAGAGCTGACCGAGATGGTAGGCAGCTCCCTTTTCTGTGCCAATTCTGTGACTCTAAACTAACAGTCGGGACAAGTGGCGTTCCCAGTTGAGGTGGCCGGTTCTGTTTAGCACTATTGGTTGCTGTGCAGGTGAGAACGTAGGGCCAGCATCACAGGGTCAGGTCAGATTTTTATGGGAAAACTCAACGCTCACACATACTTGCTATTTATTCAATAAACAATGACAAAATAATCTGTGCAGGAGCTGGAGGTAGCCTGGTGAATGAGTTTGTTAGTTTTGTGGGGACAGGCGCTCACCCCGTGCTTCAGACAGGTCTCCAACTGCCCATACACCTGCCTCTGCCTCCCGAGCGCTGGTGCTGCAGGCATGCGCCACCTTGCCAGACTTACTTGTGCTTTTTAACCTCGGCTTTGGCAGCAAGTCTTCTGAGATGCTTTCTCACACCCACTTTCTTCTTCATGCCGATGGCAGGCTGTGGATCCATCCGAGTCCCAGGCTTTTGGATTCCCAGTATAGCTGATGGCCTGTGCATCTCTCTGTGTTGATGGTAGCTTTAGCAGTGCGGTGGAAAGGACCCGTATTTGGCACAACGCTCCCCACGGTCAACCAGTCCCAGCCTGCCGGAGTCATGTTGGCCATGCT